TTCTACACACTGTGCTGATTGATGTCCAAAAATAAACAAAGGTTCCCTGCCCGCATGGAGCTTATCATGTGGTGGAATCATCGAACAAGGAGGCAAACAAGTGTGTGATCAAAGCTGGGGGATAGGACCCAGGGAGCATGCACCCCCTAAGGCCCTGAGCGGAACAGGAAAGTGCCCGCAGCGAGAGGCTGTGAGCTGCCGGCTGGCGGAGGGTGGTCAGGCTCAGGGACTGCGGGCTGGGCTGGCTGGCGGATGGTGACTGACTAGGAAGGAAAAGGGAGGGAGGCAGGAGAAATGGGCAAGGAGGGATCCGGTCTTCTGGGGTTTTCCTAGGTATTGTTCCAGATGTAGATTTACTGTAAGAGTAATGGAAGGAATTAAGGGTCTACAGCAGGAAATGTCAGGTTTTTAATTTACATCTCGATAAGATCCCTCCAGCTTCGAGTGTAGAGAATAGACTGGCCAGGGTCAAGAGTGGCTGCCAGAAGACCCATGGCGTCAGAGGCGGCCGTATAGTGTAAAAGAGGACAGTAGCTTGACTAGTGGGCGGCACTGGGGATGAAAAGAAGTGGACGGAAAGTTCAGTGGACCGGGCTGTTGGTGATCAGTGGAATATGGAGTTAGAAGAGAGAAAGAAGTCAGGGGTGACTCTTGTGTTCTTGGCTTGCAGAACGGGATGGCGGTTCAGTCAGCTCTTCTCTAGATCGGGGTTCTGAGGTAGGACGCGTCGTGAGCTCAGCGTGGGACATGTCAAGTTTGAGGTCCTCTTGCTCATCCCCGTGGGGATGCTGCAGAGCAGCGGTTCTCAACTGTGGGTCGGGACCTCTGTGGGGGTCAAACGACCCTTTCACAGGGGTCATCCGATTCATAACAGTAGCAAAATTACAGTGATGACGTAGCAACGAAAAGAATTTTCTGGTTGGGGGGTCACCAGCACATGAGGAACTGTATGAAAGGGCCGCGGCCTCAGGAAGGTAGAGAACCGCTGCTGCCGAGTCTCTGTTGAAGGGAGGAGACAGAGTTCTAAAGCAAGGTCTGGCTAGACGGCTATGTGTGGGAGTGTGTCTGACACAATGTCAAGTCCCACTTCACTCTTCTCAAGAACACAGGAAGGCCACCCCGTTCAGCCCCCTCAGCAGTTCACTGGAGCCACGTGGCTGGTGCTAAGTTAAGGGCAGTAAGTGGGAGCACAGAGGAGTGCGTGGGGTTCTACGTACCCTCTCTCCCACTGCCATGGTCCCACTGTGTCATGGTGAAGGCCACAGGTCAGCAGGGCGGAATCACAAGGCAGAAATGGCCTGACTCTCTGGGTCACCATTTAGAAGTGACTACTGAACTCGAAGAAGCGCTTACACAAGTGAGGAAAAAGCTTCGTGTGCTCACACTGGGCATGCCGGGTTGGTTTGGTACTGCAGCATAGTAAACTGGATTCTAATGAATGCAGAGAGCCAGCGGAACATAGATAGTGAAGTGAATCCACGGAAAAGGATACAACCACCCAGGAAGACAACGGAGACGTAAGACAGGAAACGGCCTCGAATCAAGTCTTGGAGAACCCCAGTCTGGACTGGGAACATCCATCGAGAAGGACGAGTTAGTTCATTATGGAGACCGAGGTGAAACAAATTGAGACGTAGAAGGAAATCAAGGAAAATGTGGAATCGCAAAAACCACAAAGAGCCAACAACGGATTGTGGTGACGATGGCACAAATCTTAATATGAACGAATGACGGATTTGTATGATGCATGGAAGAAGAAAAAAATACTATGAGCTATCACTTCAGAATCACTAATAAGGAGCAGAGACAGTAACAAGTGTTGGCCAAAATGTGGAGAAACTGGAACCCTTTTCTACTGATGTTGTGTACGTCAGTTTACGTAAAACTGTTCCTTGGAAATAGCAATTCCTCGAAAGTTAGATATGTACTTCTCAACTGAGGTTTCTCTATGTATAACTCGGTTATTGTTATTAGGGTTGAGGGTTTTTGGTTTAGTTGTTGTTGCTGTAAACCCAGGATGGGTACATCTATAGAGATAGTAACTGGATCAACGACTTCTTGGGGTTGGTGGGAAAGGGGGAGCTAATAGCAATGGGTAGAAGAAGCAAATGTGCTAAACTTGATTGTAGTGATGACTGCACAACCCTTTCATTGTTTAAACTATTGTCTGATATGTGGATATAACTCAAAGTTTAAAAAGGAAGCCACAAAGAGCCTTCTGCCTTCAGAGAGGAGGATGTGGCCAACAGCGTCCGGCATGGAGAAGCCAAGGAACAGGAGGCCAACACGGTCCGTAGAATGTCGCAACACAGGCACCACTGGCGGCGGAGGCTAGCGCTGTGTCCCTGAGCAAGAGAAAGGCAAACGCCAAACGGAAGTGGGCTGACGAGTGGGTGAGAAGTAAGAAAGGCAGAGTTGAATACTATTTCATGAGACAATGGGCTGCTTTGTGTGCAAAGTCCCTCTATTTGAAGAGGGAAGGAAGGCAATTACAATCCAAGTAAATAGGATTCCTTTACACGCTGTGAACTTGAAACGTTCCGAAAAGCTAAACACACCTGTGCATGTAGTACTGGAACTGATAATACATACAATTCCGCATGACCTTGAGACTCAAGCAAAATACTACCCCAGGCCACGAACTGGCTCTCTCTCCCCAAAGGCCGAGAAATCATCTTTCTCTCTACCTGTCTGCCTGGGTGCTCATTCAAATGTGGCAGCCCCCACACAACATCCAGTCTCCCTCCTTCACAGCTGAGTTCGAAGTGAAACACATGATCATGAATTCAGGGATGTACACCTCCAATAGCCCTGCGTGCTTCACATTGTTCTCTGGGAAGAAGAGGAGGTGGGTTCCTGCACCAAACAAAGGCCTGCAGTCAGCCCAGGGCCATGGACCAGCAGGTGAAGCCCAGTCTCCTTTCTCTCTCTCTGAGCCTCAGTCAGCTCAAGGTCAAGCAAGAACAAAGCGGGAAAGAGGTGGCCGCCTCACCCACCGAGATGCTGGGGGAGGGAAAGGAAAAGCTGTGTGGAGAGGCATTCCACAAATGACTGACATAAAGCACCACCAGCAATTGCCCCCGATTCAGGAATCACAGTGGCAAACCTGAGACACCACATTGCTGGTCTCCTCCTTCCCCACAAGGGTTTATCTTTCAAAGGGTTCTCGTTTCTTTCCTCATTTCTCCCAGTCAACAGCCAGTTAGTCTCCCCACCCAGCTTTCAATCTAGCAGAGAATATAAACAAACCCAGACAACCAGGGAAGGCCTGGTGGTGTAGTGGTTGCATGTTAGCCTGCGAACCACAAGGTTCACAGTTCAAAACCACCAGCCGTTCCTCGGGATGGGGCTTCTACTCCTGTCACAGAAGCCCACGGAGGTCATGCTAACCTGCACGATAGGGTTGCTATGGGATGGAATGGGCTCAGTGATAGCGAGCTTTTTTCTTGGACAACCACAGAGGTCATGACACCTAGCATTTCAACAAGACACTGGCCTGGAAAGGATAGCACTGCTGCCGCTTGCTGAAGCTGTGCCTCTGGGAGGGAAGAAGGGTGGCCTGTTGTATCAGCCCTGGAAGAGATGGGAGCTGACACCATCTGAAACTTTGGGGTGGCACTCCCAAGACTGGCTGGGAGAGGAGTCAACTGGTGGATCGAATGTTGGTCAGTGCCGTCTCTTCATACACAACCTCTGGACCTCAAGATCTAAGCAGGAAAGGAGCAGTCGTGCTGGAGTGGTGGTTTTTTAACAGAAAACACAACAATCCTTCAAACTTGGATACAAACACTTGGATACAAAAAAGTGGTCCTGGTACTCTTTGAATCAACATTTACCCCTAACTCGCTGTGTCCATGGACAAGTTAATCTTAGTAAGCCTCGCTTTTCCCAAGTGATAGATAAGATGTAAATAGTCACTTTGTCATGAACTTTAAAAGCAGGCTTCTACAAAGTTGTTAAAGCATAACAAATCATCATGTACTTGGGCCAGATCCTGGCACACAGAGATATAGTAAGCACCAAAAAGTGTTGGTTTTCATTCTATTAGGTCAAATTCCACATGAACCCACCCACAGGGATCATGTCTAGATCTTGAACAGGCAGCTTTACTTGACTCATTCAGAACCTAGTTCATTTCCATTCCATGAAATGAGATGAAGCACCTTATCAGGAACTATTAGAGAAAGCAAAATATATCTTAAGGGGTAGTGGGGGTCGGGGGGAGACTCTTAATTTCTGATTCTATACTACAGAGTTTCATTCTAGGATGTTCTCAATGTCCCGAATGAGTAAATCAGGAGGAGTTGGGGTTCAGGGGGCATCAAAATTTCATTTAAATGCCTGTGGACGGGGCCTCTAAAACAGACCTTAAAAACTCGCAACATGGAAAACAAAAATGGACAAAGTATTGAAGACATTTAAGTGTTCCCTGATGGTGCTCATTCCAGCCTACCACCAGCGGCCTCAGGCAGGGCACTTGTCACGCCTGGGAATCAAATGAGGTTCCTGCTGCCCGGGACAGAGGAAATTTTCCTTTAAAGGATTCCCATAGCTTGATAAAAAAAAGGAATAATGTTCATGCTTAAGTGACAACACTCTCTTCAGCCCAAGGAGACATGGAAACTCAGTATTGTGTGTAGACAACCATTTCGGGAGGGCACGTGGCTCTCTGCCCTGCATGGGCTCCGAGATGTTCAGCTTTAGCAGAACCTCCAGGTATCAGTGTCCGAAAACAAGGCTTGGGGTAGGATGGGGACCTTGTGCTGGTCAGGACCCAGAAAGGTTTCCTTATTTCTGGAATTGACCTCGGTGCTCCAGTGAAGATCCTTTGCCTGGGAAGGTGGGAGAAGGCAAGCTTCTTGGAGGGCAGGGATTTGGGTCTCTGACTCACTGCTGGGTTTCAACAACAACACAGTAGGCACTCAATAACTATTTGTAAACAAAATCATGCATAAGCCCAGGCAGATGTTTTCCTAAGAGCTGCCCAACATTAATGTCTCTTTCCTTGTGCAAGCTTGGCTTTCAACAAGGCCAGGAGAGAGATACAAACATCAGTCAAGGGTCAATGATGGGTCCAAAGGCAGAGAATTGGGCTTCCAGCTGGACAGGGCCCAGGTGCTTGGAGTTCTCAGGTGCTTCGTGAGAAGCCGCAGGCACAGCCCTCCTGGTCTTGTCAGGTGGAAACTCCCCATGCTACATTCTGCTCCCTTGTTTCTGTACATCAATGAGGAATTGCCCCCATCCAATCCAATCACTGCCTTTCAGCCGTCAGATGCAGCTGTGTGGATAATAAGTTGTCTTCGTGGCTGCTCATCAGACGGTATCATTTTATCCATGGCTGTCAAGTGCCTTTGGTTTCCCAGGCGCCTGAGCAAAGGTGTAAATGAATATCGTTTGAGCACTGTGAGGTCAGGCTTGCTCCTTCCCAAATGACTTGCGAATGCCTGTGGGCAAGGCAGTGGGCACCTGTATCAGCCCAGGCACTGGGAGATAGAGGGGGGGCGGGATGAGAGGGGAGTGCAAGAATCCGATTGCAACCCTCAAAGGCACCTCTTCCCATAATTGGATCGGGTGGATGCAATCAAAGAAGGTGCCCTGCAGCTTAAGCAGACAATGGGCCAAGAGATGGAAACCTCCACACAGAGGAGGGGCTAACAGAATACAGTCCAAAGTCCCTCTTTGAGGCCTACATCCTTAAAACCAAGGTCCCAAAGGCCTTGTTTCCACAGTGTGGACCCAGGCTGAAGAACCTGGACCCAAACCAAACTCTGGGCCATGGAGTCGATGCCAATGCACCGCGACCCTACAGGACAGGGTAGAACTGCCCCTGTGGCTTTCCAAGGCTGTAACTCTTTACCCGAGTAGAAAGTCCTGTCTTTCTCTTACAGTGACTCCTGGTTTCAAACTGCTGACCTTGTGTTGTAACCACTTGAGTTAGTTAATTGTGCCAGCCTGGCCGATAATCACATGTGGGGCTGGTTGAAAGGCGGAGGGATAAATGGGTGGTGAAGCCTCGCCTTTCTAGTTCTCAGGTCTCTTGCTTTGTGATGGTTGCACCGGGTGCAGCTGCCTTAGCAGTTCCCTGCTTCAGCTTGCAAGATTGACTTCCTACAAGACATCCCCAAGGAGAAGCTACATGGACCTATCCCGATGCAGCCCTGGGTGCTGGAGCAGCCGTGTGGAGACCCCTGCTAGTGCTGAGATGCTTGTTCATTCACTGACTCAGCTTTCCTCCTGCAGTCGGCATTATTACCTCTGTTTTGTGAGGTGGAGGACTTTGTGGACTGGTGTTGGGTTAATGGGTTAATGTTGGACTTATGGGCTTGGGCAGCATTGGGTTGGGATGTTTTCGTGATACACATTTTCTTTGCATAAAACTCTCTCTTATACATGAGTTGCTGTGGATTTGTTTCTCCAAAGTACCTAGACTAATACACCACTACACCAACAGGGCTCCTGAAGCACCTTAGGCGAAGGGTCCAGATACTGAGGGCCGTGCCTCCGATGAGGTCAGTTTCCTGAGAAACCTGAGGTGGCCGCCTGGGAGGACCACTGCAGTAAGAGGCTGGAATCTGGTCCAGCTTTGCCATTCCTGTGTCCTGCGACCTAGCCAAGGCACTGTTCTCCACGGGCCTCGCTTTCCTGACCGGCAAAGCAGGAACAATGCACCTCGCTCACTTACGGTCAGGCTGTGATGCTTGCATGGGGTATGCTGATGAAAGTGCTTCGAGGGGGCTAAATAGAGGAGCTGAGGATCAGCTGATGAGTCCTCCGCCATTGGCCGGCCTGCTCGGGCCCAGGTGGAAAGGAGTAGGCCCTTTTCCCATAGTCATTTGGGGTCCCTCTAAGAAGAGCAGAAGCCACCGAATCGCCTCTCCTCTCTGGACAAAGTGGAGCTGCCAGGGGTTCCATGGGGCGGCCCTGACCTGAGAAACGCTCCCCCACCCCCCATGGAGCCGGGGGCTGAGCTTGACTCACAATCCAGCCGCCTCCATCGGTGTCCATGTCACAGTACACCTGCAGGGGCTGGCTCACATCGCCATGCAGGTAGATGGTGTACAGGCCACTGGCGACGTTGCTGTTCTGCTGAATTTGACTGCAGTCGGAAGGGTGTGGAAAACGGGCACCAACTGAAAGCCAAGAAGAGGGACAGTGTCCTGATGGGAACAGGGATTCTCCCCTTCTAAGAGCCAGTGTGTTTTGTTTACAGAGCACTTCGTACCCTCCTCCTACACGGCGTCCGCCAGCTCTTCCTGTGGTGGCAGCGTTGTCACTCACTCTGCCCTTGACAATGTGCCCTCCAAATGTACCAGAACCGGTTCACAGCAGTTCCAGGCCTGGGCGAACTTCTCCCCCAAATCATACCCCATTTCCTCCCCCTTTTAAGGGTCTTTTGGATCCATAACTCTATTTGTAGTTCCCAATGCCTAGAGGAAGCCATCACTCTGTATACAGTTGTTTGTCCTGTGACCCCTTTTCTGGACTCTCCACTGCTCATCCCTCACTCCCCCCACCCCCGCCCAATGCATCCTTGTTCAGAGGACAAGATTCTACATCACCTGTGGACAGGGTGGTGGATACACTCCTGCTTCGGCGATCACCCTTAAAGGCTACCAAGGAGACAGGATAGGTGACACCTTGTTGAAGGCCTTGTGATGCAAACCTCTGGTCCCCTGGTCCCAGCTGCACTTCCTACCAAACAAAGAGCATAGCAGACAGTTGGTCATCCAGCTTCCAGCCCTGTGTGCGAATGAGGCAGCAGTGGTTCCTGTCTGAGTGCTCAGAGGCAGCCTAGAATCCCAACGGGCCCCAGCCCCTTTCCTGCAGACCAGCCCAAGGAGATTCACACTGACAGACATTGCTCCTGTGGAAGCAAGCACCTTCCAGGAGGTCTCCTGGGGACATCCACCATCCGGGGACACTCTGGGCATGGATTATAGCCACCAATGGCAGTACAAAAAAAAATAGCCAGACTCAGGAGGAATTAGTGGGGTGTTTTTGATTTTTTGTTTTTCAAGAAACATCTCACAGCTGCTTCCTCTATAAACAAAGGACTGAACAGAACTCCACTGTATGTGTAGAATATATGTGTGTGTGTGTGTGTGTGTAT